TCCAAGAATGACTAAATCTGGATCCAATCCACTGTATTGATTCAACATCAACACTAGAGCCATTCTTTTCATTGTACTCATTTTTATTCCATCCATTTAGGGGTAGGTTTTCTGGGCCTTCGGTTGGTATGCCACATTTCCTCTGGCTGCTTTTCCAGTTTTTTTTCAGGTTGTGAAAATGGACACTTTGCAGCCTTTGGGGATACAGGTAGTGACATATGCTTAATAAGAAAGTAGGGAAGAAATTGCATTTGCCATTTGTACAAAATAGATGGTGCATGCAGGTTTGGATGCGTGTGAGTGTGTGTGTAGATTTTCCAGTCAAATCAGGCGAATGCAGTGCCATTCTTCTTAGCGCAAGGGGAGATACAAGGTAAAATAGGGTTGTTATGAAACAGTGGCCTTTTACAATTTGTTCATGCACCACTGAGGATAGCAATGTCAACAGAAATAAGAAACATTTCATTTAGCTTTCCCAACAGACCATAAAAGCAATCTGGGATAAGGAAGGGAGTTTTTTTATTACAGGTTGTTTTTTTCAATTGACAACTATATTTGCCACATGATTTATTAAGCAAAGACTACAGAATGTTCTTTCCTAAAGGTGAATCTGTGCTATTTTAAAAGCTTATGATTTGAGAGGAGTCCAGTCTCCAGAGAGTTAAGAAAATGCAACTATATAGGAGTCTCAATAAAACACATTCTTATTCATTTTTGTTACAGGTTTCTACAGAATCAGTCAAGGTGACAACTAGGCACTGTAGTTTGTACAAAATGAAATATCATTGTTCCTCTCCTGAGAACTTCACTATATTCTAACTGAGAAGCTGTCTGCATTTCTCAGTGTGCACTTCTTAATGTGCAGTAAATACACACATGCATCATCTCCGATGTTTGGTGAAGGATCAACAGGGAAAAGTTACAGAATTCACTCAGTTAATATATCAAAAAAAGTTCCCAGAGCCCCGTGAGAGCTCTGGAGCCCCATCATATTTTTAAATCACAAACATCTGACACATTACAAGGCAAGAAAATGTGTTTGGATGGAAAGATTGCATTTACTTCTGAGATTTTGCCAGCATGGTATTATGTTTGTTGCTTTATTTTGCATGCTTGCTCAAGCATTTCTTGAAATAGGAGTATAAAGGGTTTTTTTAAAAAAGAAGAAAGAAGGGGAAAATGTGATATGGTAGTAGACCTACCTTTATTATGTCCTTTATTACTTATTCATGACAAGTTTGTCAACTTCATTTTCTTCTAATTTAGGTGAATAAGAAGAATTAAGTCTGTTTTGGTAAACCATTTTCCCCACATGGTCTACAGTTTTGTTTGTTGCACAAGCAATTACCAGACCCCACTGTTTAATTATACCCTTTGTGGCTTGATATTGCATACACATGATGTTCCATGCATCAGAAGGCTTCCCTTTATTTAAAACTAACAGTGGTCAAAGCAATGGGCAGTAAACAATGCAGCTGCAGCGCTAGAAGAGACAAATACTGTCATAACAGGAGCTGCTGCTCACTGCTGCGACTAGAAACTAGCTCCAAGGAGTGCTTCTGGAATGGTACAAGTCTGTAGGGTGCATGGAAGGAAGTTCTGCTGAGTTGCCCTATTCCAGAAATGTTGATTTAGGCTAGTTTGGGGAGTTGAGCTAATAAACTACTGTTTGTTTTTGCTGATGCAATATGTTTACAGGTAGAGAACTGCCAACTTTGTACACTGGGCCAAGATGATACTCATATATCAATAGGTTGCCACTTAATATAATATCTTTGCTAAATTCCTTGCTGTTTTAATCCTTGCTGGTTTAGCAATCTATGCTTTATTGGTCTTGTGCTATCCAATTTCCTCCTCCCAGGATAAGTAACCTCTGTATGTGTGATGTGTGTGTGTGTGGGGGGGGGCACACACTTAGGATTCATTTTTCAGAGATTTGCCCCTTAAGAGTTCTGCTTTCATTACCCTGATGACAGTGAGAAACTATCCAGGATGTGCTTGTTTGGTTGCTACAAAAAAAGACCTGCTTTTGGAACATGATATTGGAAGGAGGGAATGAAAAATTGTAGAGCTAAAATTGAAAAGGAAGGGGTAGACTTACTTGCATTTATTATTTTTACTGTTAATATGAACACTCATGAGAATCTGCTAAGGACTGGTCATTCTTAAAAGAAAATGAAAGAAAATAAACCTTAAATGGGACTCTGCAAAATCACACTGGCATTGTGTGTAGGGGTGGGTGAATAATGATGTTTCTGCTCACCAAGAATGCTCCAGGCAATATTATCTCTTGTTTCTGCCAGTTGTACCAATACACAAAGCAGCCTCAATAGGAATGGAGAAAGTAGCTGTGGAGAGACTTGCTTTTCCTAGCATCATAAAATGTGTGCTAGGACAATTATATTTGCTTACAACAAATATCTGCAGCTTCTACAACAGAAACTGTTGCAACCGTGCATACAGAAAATGAATATTCTGTATACACTTGAAGTTTGAAAAATCTGCAGACAGCTGCATCAGATGTTGAGCTCCATCTTAAATTTGTTTACCAAGTCATACTGGAAGCATCAGACTTACTTCCAAGTAAACATGCGTAGGATTGCACTACAGATATGCTGCGATGTGCATAATCAAGAAAGACATGTTGTTTAAAGCAACCCTGAGAAAGATTGCTTGAAAGGCATGCTTGGGCCAAGTCAGGAAGAAAGAAAAAAAGGGTATCTGTTATTGAAGATAATTAAGTATGTAGTGAAACACATAATCCACAGTGTTTCTGTTCATTTTAAATGGAAGAGGATAAGGATTACTAGAGACAACAGATAGTGTGATGAGGCTTATCCAGAGAGTTGCCATTTTGTATGCTGCCAGTTTTTGTAATAAAATAATTGGATTATGTTCTATTCCAGAAGATGAATCATATTTACACAACATTTAAAGCAAGTTTTACAAGATGCAGGAAAATAATAAAAATCAGATCACACAGCTACTGGTGGTCATGGGCATACACAATGTTAGTTTACTAAAGTATAAGCTAATGACTAAGGATCCAGAAAAATGCTCATACAATACAGAAACAGATGCTGATCATCAAATGGTTAATTTTAATACGCACAGCATTTATAGAAAACTAAAAGGAGTGAATTGTTACCAAATTTATACCCTGGCTTTCTTCTTGTTGCTGATATGCAGCTGATAAGATTCTTCTCATTAATTTATCATCACAACAACACTATGAGGTAGGGTAGGCTGAAAGTCCATGACAGGCTGCAAGTGACCTGGTCAGCTTCATGGTTAAGTAAGGACTAGAATTTAGATCCCAAGTTTCGGTACAACACTCTAACGGCTAACCACTACAACCAGCCAGGTCCTCAAATGTAAATAAATTCTACAAACAGCTTTTGTGGAAAGAACAGTTTCCCTGCATTTAACACGTGCAGTACACTGTATTTGATTTTCCTCAAGGCACTTCTGGACCTGAATAGTATGACATGCATCATTCATTTTAAGTGTATTAGTCCCTGCTCCTAGTCTCTGCTTATGACAGACAAGATCAGGATTTAGGAAGTCCTGGTGACTGCACTTGAGATCTTGTGCCACTTAGGAGGTTAAAGTGTTACCAATATATTGAGAGGAGGAAGTAAGATCAATCCAGCAGCCCTGCTGAAGGCCACCCTCATATGCAGTTTCTCCCTCCATGATGACCAGCAGCTGTTCCAGTTGGCTGTACTGAGAAAGATGAGAAGGGAAAGCAGGACCTATCCAGCAGTCTGATCAAGAGACTGTGGATATGATCCTATTCAGGTTTAGATCCGCTGGATAGAGAATGTTGGGAACTGTAGAACTTTTGTCTATCCAAAGAAACAAAAGGTTGCCACATTCCACACTTATCTGAACAATGGATAGTTAAGCAGAAAGTGAGATGCCAACAATTGTCTTCTCAGCATTATCACAACCAGTGCTTTTTTTGTAAGAAAAAGGGTGCTGGAACTCAGGAAATTATTCTTTCGCTTGTAGTCAATCACTGTACACACACCCACACACGTCAGTTGTGTAACAAAACATAACAGTCGCTGCCCGCAGTAAGCACTCAGCGCGCGACCACACGACCAATCACAAGCCGAGCAGTGCCATCACAACCAGCACGGATGAAGTACGCATGTATCGGATTCGACACACAAGCAGCCTGCATGCATCATTTAAATGATTTTGCCGCTGACCTGCTACGCTCGACAGCGCGATTCAAATCCACGTGGACCAAACATCAAATTTTCAAAAGTTACTTTTAAAACTTGAAAAATTTGTCAAAAAAAGGTGCCGGATCTCCATTTCGGTGCGTTCTATGACAAAAAAAAGCACTGATCACAACTAAGGCTATTTCAGCGGAGCAATTTCGGTTATACTAGTGTTACATTCATGCACACAAAAAATGTTCAATCTAGGTACAACTTGAGGGGTGCTCTTCAAGTCGAGGCCTCAGCAATGCTACGAAGAGCTCAAAGGCAGGAAATTATAAATTTAAATTACTACATGCCCATGGGAAAGGGTATGCTGCAAATATATGTGACCAGGCATGGGAAAATATGTGCAAGCTTTTGAGACCTCTTGTCTGATGAGGCGATATCATGATCTCGAGGGTGTTTACCCCTCGGTGGATATTGCACTGCACTGATTTCAGCATTTCTATAATTTCTATTAGGATTGCTCTGTTGGGTTTTTCTTAAATGCATCACCTCAACTTCTGTTAATTGTTATTCACAGACTAAGCGAAGAAAGGGTCTGGAAGTGAGCTTCTCCCGACTATTTCAACTAGCAAGGCGAGGAACACCAAGCCGATCCCCTGGACGTGCAAGGCGAACGCGCAGAGCCCGCGCGCAGCCCCGGACTCCCCCGCGAAGCTCCGCCTCGCTCCAGCCCAGGGGCGCAGCCGGCTCCAGCGAAGCTGCGTCCAGACGGAGGGGGCGCTCGCGCGGCGGCCGGAATCCACGCCGAGCGCGGAGGGGTGGCGTCATCAACACGCGCCGCCTGTCGCTCGACGAGTCTGTCGGGGCAACGATGTCGCCGCCGCCGTTGTTCAGCCTGCCCGAGGCGCGTTTACGCTTCACGGTGAGTGGGACCGGGTGGAGACTTCATCACCTGCCTGAATTTCCCAAAAAATGTGGGACTTCCGCACACTTTTATCTTTTGAGCTTCCTCCCGCTCCCGCGTAATATTTTGACTTTTGGCTGAAGCGTTGCGCTTTTCTGGTTTTACGAGCCCTTCCTGTGAGGGGACAAAGAGAGATAGGATCTGACTGTCCGAATCTTAAAACCCCTCGCCATATAAAGCGTAGCTTTATGTATATTTATTCGGAAGTAGGGCCTGCGTCGCCAAAACAGGATTTGCTCTAAAATAAATAAGCTTAACTCTGTAGGCTTTTTTTGGTGGAGGTTACTCCCACGTGAGTTTAACCAGCATTCTCCATTCTGGTGTTCTGCAGATATTGGACTGCCATATCATAGCCAATATGAAACAATGTCGTTAAGAACTGCAGCCCAACATATCGGGAAAGTGGCTTTGTCTCTAATGAATGACAAAAATGTTTATTCATTTGATTTGTTCAGTGCTTGCCCACAGAGAAAATGACAATAAGTAACAGAGTTGGTTTGTTAGAAAAGTTAACAATGGGACAATAACTTTATCGAGGCTAGCCAAGAAATAGGCAAGCTTTTCTAAATTAAGTAATGGATTTATAAGAAGACAGTCCAAACCATCTATGGACTGTTTCTTGCATGAGTATACATTACTGAGGTTCTCATTCATTGCTGATAACTGGAGGTGTGGAATGAGCACAAGATTTGATTCAGGTGTTTCAGAAAATTAGGCTTGGCCTAAATGAGAAGCCAGGTGCTTCAGTTCCAGTATTGAACCCAAGTCAGAAATGGGACTGCATTTCTGCATTCTATTGATTACCATAGGAAAATTAGGAAACAGGTGTAACCCTTATTGTTTGTCAGAAGTGGATGAAATAAAATAGAGGTTAGGATTATTATGTTTTGTAATTAAAATATAAAAATACTATATTTGCAGCTCTGATAGCTCCCAAAGAAGGGAATTATGCCTACCCAATTAGAGAAAAATTGGTGGGTTTTTTGTACTATATACTTTTATATTTTCCTTTTTTAAAGGGAAATGTTAAAAAAAACTTGAAAGGATTGCATGAAATTTGCTTGGATGGTTGATACTTCTGAAGAAATTTTGTACTTAGAATATTGTGTTCAAAGTAAAGTAACTTCTGTCTAAGTTTAATTTCCTCTATGTAAAATTTTTATTTATGTATTAATCCCTTCTGTAATATCCTGTACATAAATAAAAAGGAAAAGCCAAACATAGAATAGAAAACATTATGATGTCTCGAAGAAAAGAGTAAACATAAACAGTCTTAAAAAAATATGTTATTGAATTGTAAAGTGACAGAAATATAACAGGAAGATACAAATCTACACAAGATAAGAATAGAAGAAAAGTGCATGTTTAAAATCATAAAACATTTTTTACTTGCTGAACATTTTGTCACCACATTCAATAAAAGTGGTGATGCCAGTTTGAAATGAGTTGAATGTATTGATTTCGTTTCTGTAGTGCCCTACAGCCAAAGCCGCCTGGGTAGTTTACACAGTCCATTTAAATAGATGATAAAAGTACAATAAAAATATCAGAAAATCAGAAAAATATTTAAAACTTTAAAACTGCTAAAAACATAATGAAAACAGACAATAACAAAGAGTAACAACAATGACAAACAGTGCCAAAACTAACACAGACTGTAGGGGATCATGGAACACCTAGCCAGGAAAAGGATGGACTTTTAACATGACTATAGTATAGAACAGATTTTCCCAATGTGGTACCCTTCAGTAGTTTTGGACTTTAAATCCTATCAGTTTCAGCCAGCATGGTCAATATTCAGAAATGGATGTTGTAAACTTTTTCCTGTCTCAACTTGCATAAGTTATAATTTGTGCCTTTCTTTTAATGATGTAATGTCGGTCTGGTTAGATGAATATAGTTTCTGGTTCAGGCTTTTCTGTAATATGTAGAATGGGCATCAAGTAGGTGTTGGATTTTCATACAAGCGAGAGAGGTATGTCCTGATGTCAACTACATTTTGGGGGGAGTCCCATTTATATACTTAAAATGTACATTTGCTTAAACAGATGATCACGTAGATAAATAAATTAAATCTGATTTTAATTTAAAGTCATTCTAAGTAAATATAGGGTTTTTTTGACCTCGGTATTGTTTGAAGGCATATGGTGTCTCAAACATGCGGAAGCTAAGTAGGTCTGTGTATAGTTTGGGTCTGCAAGCCATATGTATGCCTTCTTGAGTTCTTATTTGAAAGAAAAGTGGGATATAAATTTAATTTTGATGATGATGCTTCAAATTTGCATGTACTAATAAATGCAAATAATATTTTAATACCACTGCTCTAAGTAAGGAACTGATCTTTTTTTTCACTCTGTTATCTTCTCAGAACTCTACTCGAGATGCGCTCAAGAACAAAACCATTAAACCTTTATTGAGTGCATTCAGCCAGATACCTGGAAGGTAACAAATCATGTTTTTTTCCACATCATGTATTTAATTTTATTGATAGGAAAGCTTTTGGGAAACAGTCAACCCTTTTGTCCTTTTTTAGTGAAAATGAAAAAAAGCTGACCTTGGATCAAGCCTTCAGAGTTGCCCTAGAAGAAGAGATTGTAAGTACTTCTTGTAACCATATGTGTGAATACCATTTGAAGGTGAAACTTAATCACTGATTTTGTTCTAAGTAAAAATGTAACATCCATTACTTCTGATAGATTGAGATGAATTACCCAGAAGGAAAGTCACTAGATTAGTTGACCCATCCATACTTTGTTAGGAAAGTGGTCCCCTTTAGAAAACGAAAAAGAAACTTTACAGTTGTATTGTTCCTAATGAGCTTTAAATCCTATTATAATTTATTTTGTCTAAACTTTCATACAAGCTTAGCATGATGATGAGTTTCTAACACTGATATTGAAAGATAAGACAGGGCCTGTTTTATCACAGAAATAATAGAAAATGAAGAGGGAAATTGTAGGGAAAACCAGCCTTGGACAGCAGTAATGTCTTTGGTAAAACAATGGGGACAGTTTGCTTTTGGTTCTAATAGATAATATTTCTGAAAAGGATGGGCAGGCAAGCTCCCAGTAGTTGTTCTTTCTCTTGCTAATATATGGGTTCAGGGTAGTCTTACTTCTGCCATGATTTTTTCCTGAGAGGCAGAGATTGCCACCTTCCCTGGCTGATGATGACCCCAGATAGCCTGATTGTACATGTTCTAGGACAGTGGTGGCGAACCTATGGCATGCGTGCTGCAGTGGGAACACAGAGCCCTATCTGTCAGCATGTGAACCAAGTCACCCCAGCATCACCACAGCAGCCAAGCATCGGATAACAGCTCACATAGGGCCCATGCACATGCTCGGAAAGGAGTAGCGGTGCCAGGCAATGACATCATGAACTGCGACTCATTAGCCGCGACTCGTCCGAGGTTTTGCATGGCTGGTCAGTGCGCTGCCAAGGATAGATATATATTTTCTTGGACTGGCTGCGAGTTGTTTTTTCTAAACTAAAACCTCAGTACTCAGGTTTTATTGCAGTGTTGGCACTTTGCAATAAATTAGTGGGTTTTGGATGCAGTTTGGGCACTCGGTCTCTAAAAGGTTCGTCATCACTGTTCTAGGATAATGCAAAGTCTCCACAAACATGCATGTGCAACCGCTTTCTCACCTCATTTCACAAACATGGCAGAGGTCAGATTGGGAGCAACTGTGGTGGAGGAATTGGGTGAGACTGTTGCACTGCTATGAAATTGTTCCTAGATATTTTACTTCTGCATGTGAGTGACACATGATGTAGTCCTGTTTTTCTTGGCATTTGTATGGCTTTTGATATATTTCAAATAAAATATGGTGCAGCAAGTTTCAGGATCTGTTTTTGTAATGAATTGTGAGTGTAGATTGTTGAATACAGTTTTTTAATTCTTGATTGAAAATAAATGAGTTAAAAGTGGATCTGGCTCTTCTATGTATTGATCAACATTAGGGAGAAATTTGGATTCCTCCTATTAAGGTTAGAGACAATGCTCCCTTCTTTGCTAGCAGTGGGTGCAAAAAGAACTGTCAGCTGCTTTCTGAACCTGGAAGAGCAACTTCAAACAAGGGAGAAAGAAGTGCCTTGGTGGGTAAGGAAGGAAGAAAACTGAAGAAACCAGGATGAACTTTCCTGAGATCTCTCCAGCCTGCTTCCCCTTCCCTCCAAAGCATTTCAGGTAGATGGGCAAACAAGCCAATATGGCAAAATATGCAGGGCAGGAGGATGGAGAGGTAAAGTTTGGCTCTACTGCTTTTCCTACTCTGCACTGGATAATTGGAGACCTCAGAGTTTGGGGGTTTCTAATCATCAAGGGTGCAATCAATAACATTAGTGGCTTATTTCTAGTCAAAATAATGTTTCAGTTCTATGCAGTTAATGATCTGCCTTGTATTATAATTGTTTAGATAAACAAAGCCTGCTGTGAAAATGTCCTGTCTATCATCTCTCTTGTTATTAATGGGGTCACAGAAGGTAAGCGTCGGACAGTTTTATTCTTTCTAAAACCACAATTTACAGTTCTCCTTAGTTCACTTTCTTTGAACATATGAACAACTGCATAGATCTTTACTGTACATTGACAAGTTGTATGGGACATTTTGTATTGGTATTATGGTAATGAATGCAGATATCTCTTGCTTGTATTTATCTCCTATCTCGACGGTCGATTCCAGAAGGTAGTGCTGGGGGACCATGTCTCTACATCATGGCAGCTATGCCATGGGGTACCACAGGGCTCCATTCTATCCCCTCTGCTATTTAACATCTATATGAAACCGCTGGGAGAGGTCATCAGGAGGTGTGGGCTGCGGAATCATCAATACGCTGATGATACCCAGCTTTACCTCTCATTCTCCACTAATCCAGGTGAGGCAGTGGCTGTGCTGAACCGGTGCTTGGCCGAGGTAAGGGAATGGATGAGGGCCAATAAACTGAAACTCAACCCAGACAAGACGGAGGTCCTGTTGGTTGGCAGATCGGGTTTCGGAGAGGGTGGATTTGACCTGGTCCTGAATGGTGCAACACTCCCTCTTAGGGATAAGGTCCGCAGCTTAGGAGTACTCCTCGACCCGGAGCTCTCTTTGGAAGCTCAGGTGACAGCGGTAGCGAGGAACGCCTTCCTTCAGCTTCGGCTGATTAATCAGCTGCGCCCCTACCTGGAGTACGACTGCCTGGCGACGGTGACACACGCGCTGGTGACTTCCCGCCTAGACTTCTGCAACGCGCTTTATGTGGGGCTTCCCCTGAAGACAGTCCGAACACTTCAATTGGTGCAAAATAGAGCTGCCAGGTTGCTGACGGGGACGGGGCGTTATGCTCACATGACTCCAGTCCTCCGTCAGCTTCACTGGCTTCCCATTGAAGCCCGGGCCCAATTCAAGGTGTTGATTATGACCTACAAAGCCCTAAACGGCTTGGGTCCTGGCTACCTGAACGAGCGCTTACGTCCGTATATGCCCGACCGCCCTTTGAGATCTGCGGGAGAGTCCCTTCTCCGGGAACCCTCCATGAAAGAAATTAGGAGAGTAAGTACCCGGAGGAGGGCTTTCTCTGCGGTGGCGCCCAACCTATGGAATTCACTCCCCAAAGAGGTCCGCCTGGCACTGTCGTTACTGGTTTTTCGGCGCCAGGTAAAGACCTTTTTATTTAAACATCATTTCAATTGTTAAAACATATGATCTGGCCAGGGCAACTTCTTCTTCCTTCTCTTTCTCCTCCTATATTTTTATTTTATACTGATAATTTTAATTTTATATTTGTAAATCAATGTATTTTTTGTATTTTTGTATTTAATGGTAATTTATTATGTACTATTGTATTTCAATGTATTTTATCATGTTGTAAGCCGCCCCGAGGTTTCGGCAAGGGGCGGCATAGAAATGTTATAATAATAATAATAATAATAATAATAATAATAATAATAATAATAATTTATACAATACCTGCATGGTTTACAATAAACTAAAGTAAAACTATGATAAAAGAAATACAGTAGTAAAAACTACTAATATTAGTATTATTGCATTGCATTTATATCCTGCCTTTTTCCTTCTTGTGAAGAACTCATGGCAACTGAAAAACGATCAAGAAAGGAAAAATATACTTGAAATATTCAAATGATCCCCTAAATTAGAGCGATTTGCAATATTTCCATAAGGTTTAACTGAAGTTCTTACATAGTATAGCTGCTGCCATTTCTAGATATACACATTAGTTGAGAATATTTCACCTTCTTTCAGGGCAGAGAATTGGAAGGATAATTAAGTGCATACGTTAGGAACTTCTGCTTTTCTTCTCTATCTGAAAACAGTTGACTGAAAAGGGAAGTTGTAAAAGTTTGTTACTGTTGCTCCTACTGATTTCAGTGGGGCCTTTTCCCTAATAAGTATGTTGAGGATTACAGCCTGAATATCTCTTCAGGACTTAGTAATCAAAATTTATTACCTAATAAAAATTACTGTTTAGATTTGCATAGCAGTTCAGAATGCACTCCTATGGTCTCCTGACATTGTTGGGGGCCTGGGGTGGGCAGTGGCGTAGGATTATTCAGAGCCTGAGCTCCAAGGTCCTGCAACCACAAAGCTGAGCCTCTGAAGGCCAAGCCCCTGCCCTGCTCTCCTTGAAGTTGGCGCAGAAGTAACAACACTGGGACTGGGCCTTAAAAAGGATAAAAAGTGTTCTGCCTGAAGTTTGACAGATTGCCAGCACTATGCCTCACCAAGGCATTGTATTAGATTGGGCCCTCAGGACCTTTAGCTGTGAACTTAGAACTTAGAGCTGTGCTCTAAAAGAAATATGCTCCCCAAGAAGAATCTACAGAATCAATGGGATAAGAAGTATTGAAAAAAGACAGTTCATGCAAAAAGATTTTCCTCATTTGTTAACACTTGTAAGCATTTTATTTAATACAATAGTTAAATATCAGCATATTTTGTCCCATGAAGGTATCTGCACTGCATCAACACCTTTTGTGCTTTTGGGAGATGTTTTGGATTGTCTTCCTCTGGACCAATGTGACAAAATTTTCACCTTTGTAGAAAAAAATGTAACTACATGGAAATCTGTAAGTATTTTTTCAATGGAGCATTTTAGAAGCAGACTTTCGGAGACAAAAGTTACCATATAAACAAGAATTACTACCTTGAATAAATTTAGAAAAACATTTTATGTGCTGTTTCAAATTAATTTAAAGAAAAGAGTTTGTGTTCTGGTATATATTACATCACTTTATTTTGTTTTTGGTGTTCCACCTTTAACATGCAACATCATTTCAGTGCTCTTGAGCAACAACTTTGGGCTGTAAGATCTGTGTGCTCTGCAGTTATGTCTAGAGTTCTGGTCTGCCATCTTAACAGAACATCAAGAATATGGCACCAACATAATGTGAAAATTTTTAAAGTTCCTTAGGCTTATTCATGAAATGGATTTTTCATAAGGGACCTTCCAAAAACTAGCCTGCAAAAGTTACTAGCTTATAAAAACTTACCAGTTTACCACTGAGGCAGGTCATCTGGTGGTGTGGACTGATGAACTATAGTTCTACCTCTTATTCCCAGGAAGACTGTGGAAGTGTGTAAGCAGTGTTTGATGTCAATTCAGGAATGGAAGGAGATGAAGACACTAAAAGTGAATCTAGACAGGATGAAGTTACCATTAGTTGGTAACTCAGGCAAGATAGTTAAAAGACATCAAGGACTGAGTCTTTCAATATAGAATCACCTGTGATTTGATAGCTGCCTTGCAGAGTTCTGTGTGCCATTACTGTGGGACATTAGATGAATAAGCACGAGAAAACACAGTGGTGTTGAAGTAGCCCCTCTGTGGAGATGTTTCAGGCTTTTTGATGGTTGTTTGGTTACGTAGATTTCTATGCTTCCTTCAAGAATCCAGGAAAGTTTGCATTGGCAAATAAACAGTACATTAAAACATACGGGAGAGAATTCTAATAATTAAAACAACAAAAGCTAGATAAAAACCAAATCAAATGATTTAATCATTTTAAAATGCTGGAAGAATTAAAAAAAATCAACTGCCATTGAAAAAATCCCATAGCACTGCCAAGTGAGAATCTCCAGTGAGAGTGTTCCACAGATGCTTCTCTGCAATCAAAAGTACACTTTCTCCAGTTGTCATCTATCTGGCAATAACATTTATAGGAAACCAGGATGATAGCAGGCAAGCAGGTTAAAATGGGAGCATTTCTTTTGGACATAAATCGAAAATGATGTTACTTTGACAGACTTTTGTTAGTTTGTGATGTTTTTAAGCTGATTACTGCATTGTTTTTCCTCTTTTAAAATTAAGTATTTGGAATTCTGTTTTGCTGTGTTGTATTTTTCTTCATTTAAGCCATTCTGGCAGCTATATGAGCAAAATGTGGATATTCATGCTTACCTGTTTTCTGCTATAGGCAGGGCTTTTTTTGTCATAGAACGCACCGGAACAGCGTTCCGGCACCTTTTTTTCCAATGTATTTTACGAAGTGATTTTGAATCGTAGCCGATCAGCAGCAAACACCATTAACATAGTGCCTGCAGGCTGCTTTTGTGTCTGCTATCTGCTGTCTGATAGTGAGATAGTGAGGGGCTGCTCTCGGCTTGGGATGCAGCTCTGCTGCTCAGCTTGGGATTGGTGTGTGTGGTCGCGCACTTACTGCCGGCGACGTGAGTTCCGGCACCTTTTTTTTTTTTTTTTTTTTACAAAAAAAGCACTGGCTATAGGTGAGTAGTTATTCATACGTCTGCTTTGGATTATTATAAGGTGACTTTTCTTATATTACAATTAATGTGCTGACAAACTCAGATGAAATTATTTCCAGTATCATCATAACTGACGAAATGCTAATTTGATGTCTTAACAGCTTAAATAATTTTTTTTTTTTAGAATACATTTTACTCAGCAGGAAAGAATTATTTGCTAAGAATGTGCAATGGTGAGTAACTTTTTGTCTTTCTGGAAAAGCATGCACAACTTTCAGTGTTGTTCATCTAACCTTGACTCATCTCCAACTATATTTGAATAAATTTGCATAACATTATTAAGTATTAAAAAGTTGGTGGTAGACATAATACATGTGCTTCAGTTTTGCTTGAAGATTAGTACTATACATTTTTCTCGCTGAATGAGGAAATTTGAAAAGTGTATAAGTTTGAGTTTCAGCGAATTGCAGTGTGATCCTAATGATGTTTGCTTAGAGGAAATCTCTAGTTGGTTTATTTGATTATACTTGAGCTTAGGGTTATAGCACTGATCAAGATGAAAATAAATAGAAAAGTAGTGAGGAATAAATTGTTAAATGCTCCCTTCATCTATATGTTGTTATCTTCAACATTACAGTGTGACTGTGTGACATTTTATAAATCTTGAAAGCAGGTATTAATAAATATATCTTCTTTTTATATCTTTGTTTAGACCTTTTAAGAAGATTATCTAAATCACAAAATACAGTGTTTTGTGGAAGAATTCAACTATTCCTGGCTAGATTATTCCCACTTTCAGAAAAATCAGGTGAAATTTGTTCTTGTATAAGCATTAACAGTGCTTTATTGGACAGAATATAGTGGAGTCTGTCACATATAATTAATATATTATCCTAGTATAATGGTTGTAATTATTTTAGATTTTGTCATCTGCTGCCTCCAAGGGACTCTGTACAAATGGTTCCTATCTATCCTTACTGTAATTCAAATGCATTATAATTATTTCTAAATCGTCCAAAAATACTGTTATATGTACTACCATGTATTAGTCACAAATGTCACAATATAGTAATTTTTATTTGTAAGTCCTTGGCTTTTCAATTGCATTTTTTCCTTACAGGGCTTAATTTGCAAAGTCAATTTAATTTGGAAAACATTACAGTTTTTAATACCAGCGAGCAAGAGAGCACACTTGGACAGAAGGTTTCTATCTTCATATTCTCTATTATATACCCAGAAACACATTCTGTGGGCAACCTGTAAAAATTGGGCTGTGAAGTTGCCTTTTTAGAGAGTATAGGAAGCTGATTTTTCAAAAAACTGAATTGGCATATTAGGAGAGCTGGAAGTGGTTAATATATCTCAGGAAGCAAGGAGAAGTGCTGATCCCCAGTGGGATGATGCTTATACTATTGGAAATCTGTCAGCATACGTATTAGCAATGTACTGTTCTCAGTGGGGGTAGTAGTGGAGAAGCAGGGTAATTTGCTTGCCATGATAGACACCATGTCAAAAGCCCCTTAATTCCCTGGCATATCCAAAACTGGAGCTGGTGCAGTTAATTCTCTCCCATTTACTACAGTGGCTGGGGTGAAGAAAATGGTACCCCTTACCTCCCACCCTTTCTATGCATGTCAGGATGTTCCAGTTATTCCACCTTTCTGTCGTCTGTAGCTGAATAGCAAATTGATTTTTCCATCTGGAAAGATAATGCAATTGTTTAATAGGAATTATTTTCTAAGTTGGGCTGTTAAAGGGAGAGAAGACATAGATTAGAAGGCATTGGTATGTTTTTGAATATGAGTTTGTAGTTCACTGATTATTTAAAATATTAATACCAGTAAATATTATGGTACTGATTATAACCTGCATCTTCCAGTCCTTGCACAATGATGCAACCTCCTTTTCAGTGCTAAGTATCTCAAGCTGTAGGAATATTCTCTCTTTCTCCCTCCCTCCCTCCCTCTCCCTCTCCCTCTCCCTCTCCCTCTCCCTCTCTCTCTCTCACACACACACACACACACACACACACACACACACACACGGAATTAATTATTAATGCAGTCTTTTTCATCAGCATGTTGAGGAGAGAGATGAAGGAATGGAAGTAGAGGAAGGTGAAATGGGAGATGATGAAGCTCCCACAAGTAGGTAAGCTGAGTCAAATTTAATTTATTATTTATAAAGTAAACAATGTGTAAGTGGTCCACTTAGACTAAAACTGTATCATGTACGTAATTGCTGATAGTGTTGTTGATTGAAGCAGAGAACCTTTAGCAATATTTTAGGGTAGTACTTTAAAATACTTCACCTGCTTAACTTCATTATAGGAAGATACTTTTGGGTGGCTTATGATATTCTTAATGCGAGTAATTTGATTAGCATTTGGTAATGTCCTATTTTCTAGCTTTGCCTTTCCTTTCCTTTCCTTTCCTTTCCTTTCCTTTCCTTTCCTTTCCTTTCATTAGTTTTGGAGAATAGTGGCTATATTGATGGATCAGCAGGGCCTTGCTGCCATTTCTAAGGAACCAGATAAGAACTATGGATAAATGACTAGCGAACATTGCTATAAACTCAGGAGTAGCTTGATAAGAAATTACAAAAATTGTTTTCCTCTAGATTTGCAGGAGGTTGCAAATGATGAATTCATAACATTGTAATTTGGCAAAACTGCCTTCTCAGTAGCTGTTTATTGTGCCGTATCTGTTTTTTTTAGTAACCTACCACATTTTCTTAAAAGGGAATGGGGAAGTCATTTGCTATTTAATAAATAGTACTTTAGCTGCTTTCAGTGCTATTATTTGATAGGAAAAATTGGTGGGAAACATTGTCCAAAGTTCCTGCCCCAAATTTCCAAGTGTCCTGTCTGAGTTCCAAGTTCATGTGTTCAGCTTGATTGGCTACCTAGTATGGAAAAACTGTGTAAATCTAAATATTAAATAAAATAATTTTGTTTTAAATAATAGACAGAAATGTGCTGCAGTTTATGTGTTAAATATTATTTTGTCAGCTCCATTCCAATAGATTACAACCTGTACCGAAAATTCTGGTCACTTCAAGATTACTTTAGAAATCCTGTACAATGTTATGAAAAGGTCTCATGGAAAACATTTCTTAAGGTAATGTTCTACAGTACGTATTTTTTTCTTTCTCTACGAAGAGATCAATATTTTTACTATTTCTAGTATGATCCAGTCATAAGATACACTGCGCCCACAAATAAGCTTTTATGAAAGAATCAGTTTTTATGCCAGTATATATATTGTGGCAAATAGCATAGATTTGCAAAGAAGCCATGCGATGTGGATTCTTTGTGGGGCAGTTCACTGTATGCTAGACAGGTCACTAGATTACAGCTGGTTGCTCTTCCCCTCCTTCCTCCTCAATCATCCCTCTGTTATTTCTAGTGTCTTTTGCAGAGGAGCCTTTCTTGTATCCCCTTTCCTCACTCTGATCATGATCCCTTTGTGTTTGCCACTCTCCCCCACCCCTGTACTGTTCTCCCAGTTGTCAGAAATAAGTAGTTTTGCCTGGTCAGTATTTTAGCGGTTTCAGATTGCTGAAAAACTGTAACAGGTTGACAAGGCAAGATTACATATAATATAAATTGTGAATACTTGATATTGTCAGTTGCGCAGTTTTAGCTGGAAATCATGAGCGAAGGAAAAGAGCCAAAAAAGCAATCAGTAGTGGTAGCACAGGTAAGATATGAAGAGTGGCAAGAGTTTTTGCCAGTCCCAAATTATGGCTGCTAAATACACTGCTACCTTGGCTTACGAGCTTAATCTGTTCCAGGACTCTGGTCGTGACCCAAGTTAAATTTCCCCATAAGATTCAATGTAAATAAGGTTAATCCGTTCTGTAACAATTTTTTTTTAATCAGAAAAATGTGAAGCAAAGTGACAAAGAACAACAATGATCGCGGCCATCTCCTCCCCCCCGCCCCCCCCAGCATGACTGCGATCGCACCCGTAATCCTGCACAGGCCCGTCATCAGCGCAGTGCGGGGGGAGGGGAGAGGAGAGACTGGCTTGATCGCAGGCGTGGTTGGGGGGGGGAGATGGATGCGATTGGGGGAGTAGACGGGCGCGATCGTGCGGAGGGGGGAGATGGCCAAGATCACGGTTGCGGTCATGCAGGAAAGGGGTACAATCACGGGCACTCTTGTGCAGGAAGGACAGGTGCAATATCGGCCATCTCCCCCCCCCCCGCACGATCGTGGCCATCTCCCCACTTGGGGGTAGGGTGGGGAGATGGCCGCAATCGCGGTTGCCACCCAATGCAGAGTTTGCGACCTGAGACAAAATTTTCATGAAACTTTTGTTCACAACCAAATTTGGTTGTGAACTGAGGCATTTGTGAGCTGAGGTACCACTGTAATTGCTGTAAGCACCGCACAGAGAACAATAACTTTTCTACACAGCCACTTAATGTCTTTATTTAAGCTATGATATACATCAACCATAAGGTCAGTATGGTATTCATAAGAGTAAAAGGCGTTTTCAGGGAAATGTGTTGTCATATTTAATGTCTAACTATATGCATTCATTCTGTTACATAACTGTGTAAAGGACTATATTAGCAGGTGATGGCATGATACCTTGGAGGATGTGGCATTGAATGGGCTCTTGGTAGTAGGCCGGTGATGTGAACTCCTGTAATAATGTTGACAGGGTAAATGCATTGAACGGCTTTGGTTCTGAGACTGCATTGTAGGAGCGGCTGCTATGTTAAGTGTCCAATTTAGTTTAGCATGCCATTTTTAAATAGGAGTAGGCCTTTCTGCTGAGACTTGTTTGAAATATTAATTGTTCATAATTAATTGTAGTTCACTTAAGTTGCATTGGAGAGGCTTTAACTAGGAGTTTGTGCACAACCGAGACGATATTGTCACAGTGCCCTTAGAAAATTATGCTAAGATTGTAGGAAGACACATTGACACACCATTATTTTTTTTAAAATGTATAAACTATTTCCTGTGTTTGCTTGGCTTCAGAGGCTGCACCACTTATTGTGCCACAGCATTACTATTTGGGAGTAAAGTAAGAGTATCTTCTGAACACTTAAGAATATTTTCCTTCAAGATTTGCAGTGATTTTGTAATTTATTGTATATCTAACTTTCTTTTGTTGGAAGCAACTTGTTGATGACCTTGGGTAACCCCTGGTAGTAAAAAAAAAAAGAGAGAGAGAGAGAGACTAGAATAATAGTAGATTATGTACCTGATCAAAGTTCAGATATGCTTTGTTGTTGTGACTTCCTTCACATACTGTTTTTTATTTTTATCAATTTTTAAAGTATTCTGAAGAGGTTTTGACTGTCTTTAAAAGCTACAAGTTGGATGACACCCAAGCTTCAAGAAAAAAATTAGAAGAACTGAAAACTGGAGAGGAACATGTTTACTTTGCCAAATTCCTCACAAGTGAGAAGGTAATGTTCTTTCTGGTCTTGATATAACAGCTTTTAAGACATAAGGAATATTTCAACTCATGCTAGGAAATATTTCGGGGTGGGTTTTTTTGAAGATTGATTTCCATCTGCTTATAAATACATGTTGCTACCACACACACTTCTTAGGTTCTTTAGCTTTATAGAAATCCATGAGACAAAGCTGGCATAGATTTTAGTAAATTACATCAAATGATTTGTGATCTTTTGGAGCCAAACTGGGTTTGACATTAAATTGATTTTTACCCTTAAACTCTGCTTCTTTAAAATGCAAAATAGCTGTTATATGATGCCAGTATATCTCCCCACAATATTAGTATAATTTTGCTGGAATGTCATGATAACACTACCACAACTTGTTTGCAAACTTTTTTTTTCTGCTGTGGTGCTGACAAAAGTAATTTATCTGAAGCTGATATTTGAATTGTGAGGGAATAGCTCACTGGTACCAGTGGAGAATTTCCTCCTGATGCAAATGCAGTTTTTCCTGTACAACAGTAGGAGAAGAAAGGGGTAAACTCACTCGCCACCCTGTGATCCTGCTATTTGCCATGTCAGATTTAACTTCAGTTCCAGGTTTGCCCTTAGCTGCCTTTTTTTACCCCTTTTCAGCTTTTGTTCCTTTATTATTTTATCTTTTTCCGTGTTATAAATGACATTTGAATTGCAAAAAGCTGTTCATGTGTTTTCTTTCCAGTTAATGGATTTACAGCTAAGTGACAGCAACTTCCGTCGTCATATTCTGTTGCAGTATTTAATATTATTCCAGTATCTAAAGGGTCAGGTGAAATTTAAGAGGTATGTGAGGAATTGGTCTTGAACATTTTATTTTTAAAAATGCTTCCACTCTCTTGCAAAATGCCTCTTTAGTATATCTGTATTAAAGTTGTTAAAAACTGACTTGCTGCAACCCTTGCTCTGCGTATATCCATCTAGAAACAGTGCTCTACTTAAAATGTTTATTTTGACTATGTATATATTCTGTGCTTAAGGAATAGATCTTTCCAGTACTTGCCCTTATTCTTCTCATGCTGTCTCTGAAAAGGAATGTTTGCACCTTATATGAAAAGAATATTTTCTTATGTGCACAGAAAGAAACCATTAATGAAAAAACCAACAATTCGTTAAAATTGATCCTATTGAAATCAAAGGGGCTTAAATGTTCATTTTTTTTAAATTCTAATTTCAGTTTCAAATACAAAAACAATAAACAAATATACTAACTTCTAACAATAGCATTTACTGAGAATATTTTTTTTCCAGTATGATTATTTGTTCAAATGCTGTGAGTTCTTAAATGTTCCAGTTGGGTTGTGCTTCATTTTTGCTGTAATTCAGATGCATGAACTGTAACAATCTTACTAGTTTAAAAGACCTAAATCAGTGATGGCAAAACTTTTAGAGACCAAGTGCCCAAACTGCTACCCAAAACCCACTTAATTATCGCAAAGTGCCAACACTACAATAAAACATGAAAACTGAGGTTTTAGTTTAGGAAAAAAAAAACCTCACAGCCGGTCCAAGCAAATAATATATATCCTTGGCACTGTACTGACCGGCCCTGTGAAAGCTCGGACGAGTTGTGACTGAAGAGTCATGGGTCATGACGTAGCTCGGCACCGCTACTCCTTTCCAAGCATGCACATGGCCCCTGTGTGCGCTGTTATCCGATGCTCGGCTGCTGGATCGATGCTGGGGCAACATGGCTCATGTGCCGACAGAGAGGGCTCTGCGTGACCACTGTGACATGTGTGCCATAGGTTCCCCCACACTGCCCCAACCCTGCCCTGGTGCACTCCCCTAACCCTAATGTAGGGCTAACGTTCCATAGAAAAGAGGGCGATTTTGAAAAAGTCTTCCTTGAGTAGCTGTTTCTGCACAGTTCATTATTTCTGCCCATTCTAAACACATTTCAACCATCAAAATCATGCCAGGATACCTCATTTTTTCAACCCTAGCGCAGCAATGGTAAACCTTTTAGAGACTGAGTCCCCAGACTGCAACTCCAAACCCACTTATTTATCAGAAAGTGCCAACACTGCAATAAAACCTGAAAAATGAGGTTTTAGTTTAGAAAAAACAACTCACAACCTTTCCATTCAAATATACACACACACACACACACACACACACACTTGGCAGCACACTGACTGGCCATGCGAAAGCTTGGATGAGTTGTGGCTAATGAATTACAGCTTGTTATGTCATCACCTGGCGCCACGACTCCTTTCCAAGCGTGTGCATGGCCCCTGTGTGCACTGTTATCCGATGCTCAGCTACTGGAACGATGCTGGGGCGACTTGGCTCACATGCTGACAGAGAGGGCTTTGATGCCCACTGTGACACACATACCATTGGTTCACTACCACTGACTTAAATACTTGACTGACTGACTGAGTCAGATCCTGGGTATCCTGGATCAGATCTTCAGTATACCTCTTGGAGATAGAAGAGCTACTTGTACACGTAAACCTTCTGATCTATTAAGTGGAGTCCTGCTGTGGAAGAAATTATTTTAGTCCATTTCTTCATACCCTTGCAACTGCCTGTATCTTGGGCACATTGCAGCATGTTGGATGAAGTGATGCTGAGACCCAGAAGAGGAAAATGACAAAAAAAAAAAAAAAAACCCCAGCCCTCCCTTATTCCAGAAGTCCACTTTGGATATGCTTATGTCAATGCTAGAACATTCTTGCTTGAACCCAATATATTTTGGTTTCTGACTTGTAATTGGTTTGCTTTCTAGTTCAAACTATATTCTAACTGATGAGCAATCCCTGTGGATTGAAGATACTACAAAGTTGGTTTATCAGGTCAGTGTAAGAGACTGCAGACAGTATATATTCAGGCTGTATATGTAACATAAAAACACAGCTCTTACAGGCCTATTTTTGTGGCATTTGTACCTTGCTATGCTGTCCTTCTATGATTCTGAATGACAGGTTTGCATGAAATGTTAAGCCAGATGGTTGCATCAGGCTTATAAACCACTCAATCCACAAGGTGCAGGTCAAGCCTCCCTCTCCTCAGTCCTCCTGCAGGCATTCCTTGGCACTCCATGGGAACATGAGTTCTCTCACAGCCCCTGCACAGCTGCTTGCCAGTGGGGGCAGAGAGGATTGCTGACAGCCCTTCTTCTAACTCACGAGTAGCCCTTGTGAGCCATGGTGAGGGCTGTCAACATTGTCTCACTGTACACATCCTGTCTGGGGCCACTTTCCACCTCTGTCATACCTTTGTCACTCCTGAGCAACAACGGGGCAGGGCAGAGGGAATGTTTCTGACAGCCACCCACAAGTGCCACTTGGACGTTCAGAAGCAAGTATCAGAGAAGCTTACACAGCAACTGCTTGACTAAGGATTTCTTGCTGCTCTTGCCAAGAGATGCTATAGAGGTTTGGGTTACTCCTGGGCTTCTCTTGTCATTCAAGTGAAATAGCAATTCCAAGAGCAGTTATTAAACCCTTCAACAGACCATGGCCTGTCAGGGTGACTTAGAAGCCCAAAAGCTGGGCTTTTTAGCCTCCTTGGATAAGTAATGATGGGTTCAGAAGCTGTGGGGACAGGGGCTTGTTATGTTGGTGGAGATAGTCTGTTTTTAAACTGTTGCACCATGTAATTTAGATTGTAGAAAAGATCTTGTATAATATAACCCTGAAGATATTTAATGAAGCTGTCTTTGGAATTTTAGTTGGTAAATCTATTTGAAATATTCTACTGCAGTGTTTGCTTTCTAAATGTGTGCTTCCTCTAATAACAGCTTCTTTCAGAAAATCCTCCAGATGGAGAGAGATTCTCAAAAATGGTGGAGGTGAGTGAATTTCTTCATAAATTGAATTGTCCGACACTTTAGAGTGGTACCAACAACTTTTAATTGCATTTTATTAGTAGATTGCTTGCACAACTGGATGGTGTTCAGACTATTCAGGAGAGGATTATATTGTCCCTAAATGATTAGGTTCACACTTCAGGAGTGTTTTTGGATCCAGGATCATCCCTGGAGGGCCAGTGTGGCTCCAGGGACAATGGCCAGGAGCATTTTTATCCATTTAGGCTGATAGTCCAACTGCCTATCTAGATAAATATCATTGCTACAGATATCTATATATATTTATTAACCTTCTGTTTAGATTATTACATGCTGTACATGGGGCTGTCTTTGAAAATTCTGCAGAACTTTACCTAGTCAGAATAGGTAACTGGGAGGAGGATCTTTTCAGTATAGGTCCAGGTGAGGGTGTCTTCCTCATAGAGGCTTGTCCTGGTGCCTACATTGTGGTCTCTTTGGTGACAAGGGAAGACCGCTTTATTCTCTTTTTAGGTTTCAAATTTTAAAATGTTCTTACTTTTTAGCTCCTTGCACTGCTGCTAGTTTTGTTTTGGTTTTATTCTGTGGCTGTTTAAGTCTCTGTTAGATTTTACATTTTATGAAGCATCTATAGTGTTAACCTTTATTTAGTGAATGTCAGAGAGATAAAGGCAGTAAACAAGTTCCAAATTGTCCAGTGGCATTTTCAAATACTGTGTGTGATGATTCTTTACTTCAGTTATTTAAGAACATTTATATACCACTGCCCAAAGCTGTTCAAAAATACTACAAAACAATACATAATTAAAAGCATAATATTCAGGTAAGTTAACGGTCGGGAAAAGCTAGGTTAAACAAGTTATAGATTAAGAATAATTCAAAGCACATGATTGTTGGTTCCTGACATATTGATGGGGGAAGATCATTCTTAAGGGAGAACATTGCCAGAGACTGCGGTCCCATTGTCTTTTTACTACCAGAATGGGAATTTGTGTGGCTTGGCGTGAACAGCAAGTCTTCTCTTGAAAGTCAGGGTAGTCTGGATGGTCCATAAAGGGGGAGATGATCTTTAATTCCTTGACCCAGGACCACTTACCTACAGTGCTGCTGTCTTATAAACTTCAGTTTGTTGCCCTACTTCTAGGCTACCACAGCATCTAAGCTCCAGTATAGGTCATACAGTTGCAAAATTTTTGGAAGAGAACTCCAAGGATTCCATATTCCATTCACTGGGGTAGTTAATAACCCTTAATAACCCTTGAACTACCAAGGATAACTCTGTTGGGTGGCTACTTGAGGAAACAACAGAGACAGAAAATAAACTTTCTTTGCTGCCCTTACTGCCACAACAGAAGTGCAATTATTTGCTGTTACGTGCTTTAATTTGTTTTTTGCAAGTATTTCCTCTTCTGTCTATAAAAGATTTTTTATTCCTTGAGGTTGAATCAAGGATTTGCTTTTGCAAGAGGTAGGGAGCTTCCACTTGACTTTTGGGAAACCCTCTCCTCTGCCCCTTACTACAGGTCATCCCATTCAGCAAGATCTCTTGACTCTCTATGTAGTAGTAGGGGACAGGAGGGGTTATCATGGGGAAGAGGGAAGTGAGGAACTATCAATGAGATTGTTGTTTTCTGTGGCCTCTGCTCTGGCTATCCAGTATGCTCATAACATTTTCTTTTTACAAATGCCCACCTCTAATACTGAATGTGATAGTAACTTGTGCTAGCACATTGCTTTTGCAGCACATATTAAACACAGAAGAAAACTGGAATTCTTGGAAAAATGAAGGCTGTCCAAGTTTTGTGAAAGAAAGGTAACGAACTAAAGAATGCTTATCTTTAGAGATTGGATTGGATCAACATTCTCACTACAGTCTAGTTCTCTTAATATCTGTACAGTACCTGCGTATATCTTGTCTTCTAGAGAATAAATAGTGATATATTTCCCTAAAGTCTTTATAAAAACTTTGGGAATCAAAGATGTAAACGGGAGCTATGTTTCATAGAGTATGTGTCCCTTGGATCCATAATGCTCCTAAGACATTATGCTTGAGTTACGCAGCTCTCCACCTTCAAGTTCACAAGTGTCTTTCTGAGGGTGGAACCAAAGGGAAGTTTTCTTTAATCAAGTTCATCCCAGGAAAACAACATTGTGTTAACACAGCTTGAATATGTGAGATGTCCAAGGGCAATGCTTTTATATCAGTTTGGTTCCTTGTTCTGCAACCTTTTGCACCTTGAAGTGCTAAAGACCTTTGTATACAAGATATTCAGTTAAAATTCAGCCATGAGCTTTACAGTGTTCTTATTTGTGCTTTTCCTTTCTATTCATTTATTACATTATGTTCCCCTCTTTCACTTTCTAAGGAATCTAAAGTGGCATTTTAGTATAGCACAGAACACATAAGGTTGCTTAGGCCGAATGATAGTTATTTGCCTAAGCTAATCTGGAGAGTGTGATGCCTGTGTAGAGTATTGATTTGCAGACCTCACACTCAACACATTGTCCCATGCTGGTTCTTTTAACTTTTGTTCCATAGACCAAGCGATTCCAAGCCAATTAGACCATTTGTGCGAAAAAGACCAGCTCCTGAGGACTTCCTAGGAAAAGGACCTAACAAAAAAATTCTGATGGGGAAGTATGTCAAGCCTTTATTTTTCTTCATTAGCATACTTGCTTTTTGTAGAGATGTAGCTTAGTGATATGAAAAGTGATATTGTGATGGATGTCAAGCTTGCCTATATGTTTATGCATAATTGTTTTAATTGAAAATGGTTTGCACTTCACAATAAGAGGTCCTGAAAATTAGCCATGGTCAGTTGTTTTTTGCCTACTTGTCTGTGTTACTCTGACAGATAGTCAGACATTTTGTATCTTGCCTTCCCCCACAAGCGTGTTTCTTAAAACTTTTGGCTGTCCTTTGATTCTTACAAAAGCATCCTTGTCTGGTCCTTACAGCCAGGAACAGGTCATGCTTCTCTTCAGGGTGGAGCTACGTGTGATTGACTTAACTCTGGATAAGCATGTGCTGCTCCAATTCAGGAGGGAAGGATTTAAGCTGTTCTTGTCAAACAGCTCTAGTGCCATTCTCTGCAACCCACAATAAACTCATTCTCCCGGGTTTGGACAACCCACTGTGGGCATGAACAACCCTACAACAAGCCACATTTTTATTCACAAAAAATAAGCTACTCTATGGAAAGCGTGTCTGGTTTGTACACCACAATGTTCTACCATGGCTGGCTGGCTGTGGTGGGTTGTCATACTATTTGTGTCTCCTATTCCTTATTTTTGTACCATTTTTCATCTTTGATTTTCTCCTAACTTTGAGTTAAGAATTTTAGAAACATTAAGTGCACTTTAGATTATGTAGAGTGTCAATTGTAAAGTTCCCTTAAGAATTTTATTGAGAAAATAGATCTTACGTACTTTTGGTACTGAAAAGATTCCAAACATATTACTCAAAATGTAAAAATACAATAACCTTCTTGTATTTCTCCTTGCAGTGAAGAGTTGACTCGGCTCTGGAATTTATGCCCTGATAACATGGAAGCTTGTAAATCAGAGAGCCGGTAAATATGAGTGGTAGGGAGAAGTCATAGTAAATTTACTCTAGGTCTAATGCCTGTGGTAGATCTTTGAATAACAGTAAAGATGTATTAATCATCTTAAAGCTATGGGATTCAATGCAGAGAAAAGCCTATAGGAATGGGACAAGTGGAAGGTGACTTTCCTGCCTCTTGCAGCCCTGAAAAAACTTGTCAGAGGTTGACGATCTGCATGAAAGGAAGAGACTAGTGGTGCAGGGCCCAGAAGGAAAGGGGATCCTCAAAACCGAAGTGATGCTTCTACCTGAGTCTCAAGGATCCCTCCATTTTCTTTGCAGTTGCACCACAGCCAGCTCCACTTAGCTAGATCCCTCAAGGTTTTTTGGAAGTTGCCAAGAGGCATATCCTGCTCTCTCTTGCAGGCTTTTCCCAAGATCTAGTTATATATATTGTGAGGGAAGTATGGCCTCTTAATTTTATTGATTTTTATGAAGTCCTGGTTATGTGTAATTTTCTTCAATTTTACTTAATAAATTGATACTGTGCTTTGCTACATTTTTCATTGTGACTTAACCAGTGGCTTCAAAATTTCTTCTGAAGCTACATAAAAGACTCATGAGGAAGCATACTGAATGAATAAATTCATCTGCAATTAGACAAGAAGGAATTAAAAGCAGATAATTCATTGCTTTTCAGTTTATTATACATGAGCATCATGGATTATTATTTACTTGGTGTCTGAGCAGTTCAGAAAGCACATTGATGCACATACACATTCTCTCCCTCCCCCTCTCTAAGCAGATAGGACTGATACGGCTGATATCCCTGGGCTGGTAGGATTTGGAAGATTCCAACTTCCAAATCTGTAAGAAACTACTATGATCTGAAGGGGAAGAATCTATGATTGCATCATTCCCCCTACCACTGACAATCACTGTGAAAAGCATAGCTGTGGTCTCTCTTCTGAGCTCACAATAGCAACCACGGGAGATCACTGTGGGCTGAGCAGGTGGAAAAGGCATGGATCTGCAATATAATATATTCCCTTTGTTGCTTTACTCATCCACTGTTGGCATGTCAGCTAGATGGGCTCAGAGACCCTGTCTAGCTAAAATGGCTGGGGTCAGGAGGTACATTGTCTCCCTTTCCTGCTGTCCTGCCTAGCTTCAATCTCAGAACACTTCATCTCTTAGCAATGCAATCCATTAGTATTTGTATCTTTATTTCATTTGTGTTGAATATTTTTCAAATATATGAATATGCATTGTCATATATCACTGTAAAAGGAATATTCTAATGTTTTGATTACTCAGCCAAAGTAGACTTCCCCACCAACAAAAGTATGCAGTGATGGAAATAATAAGAAAATCAGTGTATTTGTCTATTTTTTTTTTTTTTTTGGCTAGTTACACTTTTACATTAAGAAATTGTTGTAATGACTTAGAAGTATCACATGAAGAAAAGGCTGGCTAGACACTGTGTAGAAAATTAAGCAGCTATTCTGTCTCTGTTTTCTAGAGAATATATGCCAACATTAGAAGAGTTCTTTGAAGAGGCGATAGAACAGGCAGATCCTGAAAACATGGTTGATAAAGAGTTTAAGTATGTACTGTACATCATTTTTTACTTTTTACTATGTCTGTTCCAGTTTTTACCAAACTGCATATTTCTACTTAAAACTTGCAGTTTGACTAGTACAACATAGCTGGGAAAATAGTGGCTTTCTTAGGTGCTAAATGGCAAACGATTATCATTTGTTACCATTTTTATCATTAAAGGGTTGTGAATAATTCTAATTATGGCTGGAGAGCACTAAGATTATTGGCACGCAGAAGTCCTCACTTCTTTCAGCCAACCAACCAGCAGTTTAAGAGTTTACCAGAATACCTTGAAAACATGGTCATCAAATTAGCTAAAGAACTACCTGTAAGTAATATGATACATTTTATTAAATTGTCACATTTCTTTTCTTCTCTATATTTATTTATTTATTTATTAAAAGTTTTTATGTGCCGTCCCCTTGCTACATAGCCTCGGGACGGCTCACATAGCCTCGGGACAGCTCCATATATGGAGAGCAAGCAATATTTTAAATAAAAGCATTTTAATACAGATCGGTATTTTATATACAAATATATACAGCTGAAATGTCTCTCTATATTTATAGCCATATAAAGATCTATCTGTTTTATTTGTTTGATGGTTAATTTTTCTGTGACTAGAAAGAAGCCTAGGCAAGCCAGTGGGGTGGAGGGAGCACTTAAAAACTGGACATGAGCCACTACTGTTGCTGCTCTAGTGCCTCCTTTCTTATGGAGAACTTCATATGGTGCCTTGGGTTACTTTCAAGAAAAAAAAGGTATATAAGCATAACGTGATGAAGATAATGGCATCTGACTGCTAATAGTAGTTCACAGTGCATTCATTTGCATGCTTACTCAGAAGTAAACATCACTGAACTCTGATGTGTGTATAGGATTGAATAGGTATGACATATTCCATTCTCATCCAACCTTTAGAGGAAACCATATATAATTTCCATAAACTGTAAAATTAGTAAATACAGGGCAATAAAGTAATGAAGGTTAAATGAAATGTGAGTCTCTGTTCAGCCATGAAAATGTTGAGTATCTTTAGGCAAACTGCTATTGCCCAGCCCAGTGTGCTTTTGAAATACAAAATAAAATTGCCGGTCTAGAAATGGTTTGAAAGGACCCTCAGAATCAAAGTGAAGTGCTAACTAAACACCCATGAACCTTTACAGTTGGATCGAAAGTTACAGATGGGGCAGGCTCCAGTGTATTCCTTTCTCATGCCTGTGTTGTCCCTCATACCAGTATTGCCCTGTTCCAAACTAGTGCATCATTTCTCCCCTTTCCCAAACTAGTTCTCAAGTTTCTCACTTTGCCTATAACTCTCTGCATGAGCACTCAGAATGACAAAAAGACTATTTGGAATTAATTACTATACATGTAGATTGTTTACCCAGTTTCATAGTGGTATTTTTTGCTTACAGCTTCCCTGACACATCCACCCAAATACATCGCTATTTGCATTAGTTGTGAGGAGACCGCAGCAGAAGAGAGACAACTGTTTTGTTTCTCTCTTGCTTTTTCTAGTTAATGATGACAGCATATTAAGAAGATCCTTCACTTTTTATGTCTGGCTTTTAGTTAGTTCCTTTGCCTGTCTCATGATCTTTCTTGAAAGAGTCCAGACTTGTGTACTGGGCATTCTTTGATGGAAAAAATAGAAGAACAGGAATTTTCCTGACAGTGAAGCTTTGATTCCTTGGAAGTCTATTTGCATTTCCTAAAACTATGTCCTAAATAATCATTTACTCATTTATAGTGAGATAGTGTGGTTTCTGTCATCCTAGCAGCCATTCATGGTAACTCATAGAAAAGTTAGTTTTCAATAGCTTCATTTGAAAATTGCAATGAACAGTGGAAATCTTAGGCTTTTTTCAGCTCTTTATCCAGTGGTTATGATTTTAGAAATAAGCCTCTGTATGAAAACACAATAGTAGAGGTTTTTAAATTTCCAAATGTCTTTCTAATCTCTGTGTTCTACTATATGTGCTTCCACCACATAGCAATATCCTTTAAAGCAAATTCATCCAATGATATTCAGTTCTCTCATTATAGCCTCCTTCTGAAGAAATTAAAACAGGAGAGGATGAAGATGAGGAAGATAATGATGCTTTATTAAAGGAAAACAATGAAAGTAAGACTGCATGTTCTTGGGCTTCTCCCCATTTTCCTTGACACAAGTTGTAAAAGGAGTATGTGAACAGATGCGTGTTCTTGTCAAGTTCATGCTATTTGCTGCTTCTGAGCCACATTAGTAATTGGTGCTTAAGTCCTATATTTGAAATGAAGAGCCACATAATTTATGCACAAAACAAAGGCCTCATAATCCTGATGTGCTGAAACTTACCATGCTTCTTGTATATTACTGGAAATCAGCCATCTTGATGCTTGATGGCATTTCATCCAGTATTACTGCTGTGGATAGTCATTGATACATAAGTAAACCTTGGAAGTACTTTGTTTTCCGAGTGCTTTTCTGCTTCTATCATAGCTCCTTTTGGCAAAGTGTGTTCTGCTGGAACAACATCATTTTTTCAACAGTTGCACTCCTCAGATATATATTATGAAAACAATGCTGTATATTTGCACCTTAAGTGGCCAGTATGACAGTTTTAGTCCATCTTCATATAAATCAGCGGTTTCACAAGAGAATTTCCTCTTCCAGTTCCGTCCCCTTTGTAAATCTGTGTCCCTAATCTTGCTATATGCTTGACCTTCCCTCTCTATACCCTCAGTCTGCTTATTCCTGCTACTGAAATTCATTTGCATGATTCTTATTCCTTCCCCATTTTTATGTGAGTGCTTCATATTTAGCTTGCTATGAATGATGGCATACATTATATCTATTATCCATTATATCCATTTCATTAATGCATTTATGTCCTCCATCTCCTGTTGAAGACTTAGTCTCATTGTGCAGTTCAACAGAATCCTGCTGATGCAGTTTATATGCTCTGTTGCATTCCCGTTTTAGCAATTTTTGTATCCTTCAACTACTAATTCTATTAGCCATCTATCTAGTTGATTCTAGCCAAAATGTAACTTACTTCCTCCTGTTTTTAAGTAATTCAGAGTGGCTACAGTCTGACAGTCTTTTTTTAATGTACTGTCTCATACTAATAACAAATCACTGTGAGCTTTCCTTCCCTCACTATTCAGTTTATTTGAAGCAACAGATTGACATTTCTTTCTAAAATGTACTATAAATGAGTGAGCTAAGTAAACACCAGCACTAGTTGGAAACATTGGGAACAGACAGTTTTCTTTCTGAGTAATTAGTGGTCACCTTTGATCTTGAAAAATGAATGGATTAGGTACCTTATTTTACTTAATATTGAAATTTTCAAACATATTGTCTGAAATTCAGAATAAACATAGTTACTTAAAAGCATTTTTGAGGAGGATTAGAGTTAGTCATTTCAGGCTGTACAAAATTGGCCCTACTAGCTCCTTGCATTAGCATTTTTGTTTTCCTGTTTGAATGTCTGAATGTACCCAGGGTTTGTGAAAGTACATGGTCACATCAGCCATTGAAACCTAATGACAAAAGAGTTGATTGAAATCAGTTGCAGTATTTTACAGGCCAATATTACTATGTTTTTGGAGCAAGTAGGTTCATTCTGAGATTTTATAGTGTTATCTACATAGAATGATTTAAGAATCTGCAAGATGCTAATTTTTTTATTTAATTTCTATACTGCATAACAGCCAAAGCTCTCTGTTCTTGTTAAGGTCATGAAAGGTGAAATCTTACAAACAGGGAATTCAAATAGTGGATTAAATTTGCAAGTACTTCTGCAGCATATTTATGGAATTGTTAAATATGATTTAAAGATGAAGGAATTTAAATGATAAAGAGTGAGCATGAATGTAAAAAGTTACTTTTTAACTGTAGTGTAGTGGCCACTTTTCAGAAACTATTTTTGTTACTGTTTCTTTAAAAAAAAGCCCTGCTAGATGAATAATATTCTATTTTTATTTTAGGTCCAGATGTTCAACGGGACAAACTTGTAACAGGAGAACAAATAGAGTTATTTGCTAATAAGCTTGGGGAATACTGGAAAGTTCTGGCACCTTACCTGGAAATGAAAGACTCTGATATAAGGCAAATTGAATCAGATAGTGAAGATGTGAAGATGAGAGCTAAGCAACTGCTTGTTACTTGGCAAGATCAAGAAGGGATCCATGCTACTATGGAAAATTTGATTACTGCACTGAACAAAGCTGGATTAAATGACCTTGCTGAAGGCCTAACTAATGACACTGAAAACAATACCTAATTCAGGAATCTTTAAACAAAAAATAAAACAGTGGCTGTTGTTGCTAAGTAACAGAATCTAATATTTGATAGGGCAATTTAGTAAATAAATATCTTTTAATAACATAATTGTCTAGAAATTTCAGGAAGGTGTTAGCATTACTGTTCTGAAATAGTAAAAAAGGGAATCTAAAAAATTATGGAAAAGCAGGACAAGAGCTTGTATGCTGGAAGGGTGGACAAGTACACAAACCTTTCTTGTACTTTACATTGCTTTTAGAGAGCTCAGTCTAAGCAGGTCTATTTCTTGTTATTGCTTCTTCCATGAACTGTGTAAGTATAAAGGTATATGTGGGAAGTTATATGGAAGTAGCTGCTTTTCTTAAAAATTGACTGATTCAGGTAACTAAGGAAATTGGTGTACTATAACAAATAGTACAAGTTTCTGAACTGATAACAAATCTAGCTTGTAATTGTGTTGTGGATATATCCATACTGCAGGCATGATGTCAGCGTCTGTGTAGTCTTGGTTTGAACACTTTTGTCACCTTACCTCTATCAGTTGTGAATGGAGATGAAGTAAACCTGTAGGCAGGTTGTTTACCTGTAGCTGTCATTCTTTGAGCAGTTGTCTGTTGGACTCTGCACCTATGTGGAGCCTGTTGTCAGGAGGAATTCATAGCTGAGACCATTTTGCTGGGAACTCCTTCCACACTCTGGCAAACAGAGTTCCTTCCTTTTGCTCTCAGTTCACTTGAGACCACCTCTGTGGCCTTGGGACTGAGGGAGGATCAGTTTGATTGATCTTGACCTTAGTCAAACCCAATCTCAGTATAGAAAAGGAGAGGTTAGAACAAGGAGGGATTGGTGGGTGGTTGTGTGTATGTACAGATGAACACTTGAAGAATTAAATTCACAAGTAAGCAACCTGCCTTTCTTCTTTGTGATCTCTGTACATCATACATAATAGATGACTGGCAAGCTTGCCTGTCTGGATGGTGGGTCAGTGTCATCATCAAAGGACTGCTCTCCTAAAGGCACAATCTGCTCTGACTCAGGGAAGGCAGTTGAAGACCTGTATGTATGAGTTGCTGTATGTATGTTGCTTTTCCTGTATGTATGAGTTGCTGGGGTGCGGGAGGCATTTCTGCAAAAGCCAATCCTAACAACAGGCTGCACACAGGTTCATAGCCTGTATGTGTACCGCAGAGACCACAAAGACCTATCAGCTACTGGTTGGTTATTTGCTGGAAGGGAGTGCAGGACTTCCCTCATACGCACTCCTTTATCATTGATTCAACTGTTCCTGAAACTCCAGTGTTTCTCAATGGTCATGATTGAGATTGTCATTTCTCTGACAGTAACTGGAAGGGAATTTCATTCATGCACAATGTACATTCTACTTTGACTTACGGCACTTCCTAGCTGGCAAATCTGTTGATCCTTTTAACTCCTCCCATCACTGTAATGGAAATGAGGGCTGAAGATGTGGATAGCAGACTTACAGCTTGATGCTCAATTTATTTCTATTAGGTTGCTTAGAAGTGTTGTACTACAGTGTAGCTGTGGCTATTGTGTTCAAGTTCATGCAGGACAGCTGTGGCACAGTAGTGTAACAGAAACTACTATGTGAAACATCTACTGGCAGACTAATCTCATTAAGATCTGGCAAATCCTAATCGAGGTTGACTATGTTGCTTTAATAGTTGTAGTAAGCTGTAGCTTTCATCAGCCATCTTTGGCAAGTAAATTGTTCTATGGTAAACAGGTAAGATCCCATATGCCCACACAGCTTTAAAGTTCTGCTACTCTAGCTTTGAGAGAACTCAGTGTGCGCTGTCTATAGGTGACCCTATTGCAGCAAGGGTGTGTCTAGGTCTTCTGTTTTCTGTTTGTTTTAAATGCCACAAAGAGAGTTCAGAGTGTACTCTCTCATTACTAGGTAGTATGCTAAGAAACATCTGGATGGTGAAGGGAATGCGTTACTCACTCTCAATGTTGCTTCAGCACACCACAATGAGCTGCTTCAAAAGTTGCTTTGTCCTGCATCTGTCTGGTCAAATGTTAAAAACCCTCTCTTCCACTACGATGGCATTCACTGTAAGTTCTATAACATATAAGTTGATTCAGAATTTACCTGTTTTGAGAATCAGGATACCATTGTGTATAAAATGTTGTGTCCTGCCATAATTCTCTTATCCTTTAGACAGAAGACAAACACCAGCCATAATTATATAAGAAGCACCATCATTACTGATCACCATTTATTTTAAAGTCATGAAATGCCAGCAACAGAGCACACTGAGTTGGCACATCAGGCTGGACAAATACGTGATTGTAGCCTTATTTCCATAGGCTATGGGCAGCAGCACTGAGTTTACATGTTGAGGCAACAACTGTTTTCCACCTTTCTGACAAAGCTGTCAGACACAATAGAAAGGATGGGCAGCTACTGAACTGGTAAAAACCATGCAAGAGTTAACAACAAATGATGCATGAATAGGTGTGGAATAAATATCTTGCTGTTAACATTACAGAGGCAAAAGGCTCACCTAGTTCTCTAATAGTTAAGACTGGTTTAAAATTTGAATTGTGTAACACAGCATCTAAAATTAAATTCAAATATATCAACCTGCTGCCACAGATAAGTGGCAGCATAGTCTAGTAGTGGCTCTAGTGCATAGATCAGTTTCAAACACGTTTTACTTCTTTGCTGCTCCAAATGACAGATTGTATGAACCAATTTTGTAGTCTCTGTGAAGGACTGGAGTTAAGAAATTTATTTCACACCTAGCCAGAAATGGGTAGAAATGAAGTCTATTATTCAGCTTCACTTTCCATTACTTCAATTCTTCGTGGCCCATAAAGTAGAACATACGCTATATGCCAGTCTCCACCACCAGATAGCCTCAAAATATCTTCAGGTGTAACAATGCTGACTTTGTCATCATCAAATTTAATCCATTCATCTGTGAAGAAGAAAAACACTAGTCAGTTCTATGTATATGACAGACACTACAGAGTCTGATTTTACAATTATTTGTCAAAGAATGGCTAAACATCTTTTATATAAAAAGGTCCCTCCGTACCTTGTTTTCTTTTAACCCAAGAGACGTAGTGTCCAGAAGAACTAGATCTTCCCTGATGTGTTAGTACTGCCTGCAGGTCATAATAACCACAGTTATTGGAGCCAATATCTGTGGGAGAGAGAGATGTTGCAATGTAACACAGTGAACATTTTGCACATAAGTATCCAGGTCTTTCCATAATTGTCAAAGCAAGCTTGACAATTAGGACTGTTGGCAAGTGAAAGCATACTACAATCCAGTTTAGAACAACTGTCAGGTAATACATTTGTCTCTGTTTTCACATATCTTCTCCATGTAATCAGGCATACATAGCAGGTGAAGACAGCGAGTATGAAAAGGCAAGAATGATTTACAATGTTAAACCAAGTGCCTAGGGTTAACAAAATGGCTGGGTTCACACAGAATTTTAAACCATGGTAGGAACTCCATAGCATGGTTTGTCATGTTGTGTGAACCCAGCCAGAGTGGTACTGTATGGTAAGGAGGGTCTCTATATAACCATGGAAACAAAGGTCTGTTTTATGTTTTCCATACTTCACCATAGCTTGTTCAACTTTTTGAACTCAGACACATTTTTAGAATGGTTTCTACAAAGCCACCATAGAGTTCTGTTGGAAGAGATGCTCTTGATGGTATTCCCAGATGTCCAGATCTGCAAAGCTATAGAAGCTTCAGCCCCAGCTGTGCTCTACTTAGCTACTCCATGTTCCCTTTTGCCTCTGTAATGTCTTCCTGATGCCTTCTTACGGCTTTGCAATGCCACTGGCAACGAATATGTGCGCTGTGCTAGTCCCAGCTGCACTAACTTCAGAGATAGCTGCGTTTGACACTTCTGGCTGGTTGCTGCAGTTAACTGCTGGATGTACACTAGTAAAGGGCACAGCTGTTAAGGCAGCAGAGTTTGCACAACAGGAGAAGAGACTACTAGCTTTTATTAAGGCATGTCACACTTCTCTCTCTGGCACAGCATTGATACCTTCATTATTTCTGTCCAGACTCATCACCTACTGCCTATACAAAATACTCTGAGCATAATCACACTTTCATTACAATACCTGAGAGTCAAACTGAATATTAAAATTTAAAGAAACCAAAAAATCAATATAGAGTACAATATATGTACTCTATATGTTTAACAGTAAACATAAAACATGCACAATTTATACAGTATGCATAACAGTATATAATTTATAGTCTAGTGGCTTGGCTTGCATAGAAAATTTTATCTACCTGAACTCTTCACTGCTCCATTTCTGCAGCTCTATTTGTGAATGGTAGTTATAATTCGTTAGTTTCTTTTGTTGGCTTGCTTTACTATTTATTGAGATAAACTACCATTCAAATATTAAGGCATGTAATTTATCAGCCACTGACTCTGGCATTCAAACAAGGTACTAACAGGAATTCTGAACTGATCCAACTGTTTCCACTTCCTTATTAGTGAGTATTGCATTGCAATAATTAAACCAGAAAAAATCAGTATAATTTTAAAGACAGATTAAGGACATAATCCTATGTCCACTAGATGCTGTCTAGATGGCCACAGGGAAGCTTGTAATCCCACCTCCAAACATGGAAACTTGCTCTCACAGTCCATAAGGAAAAAAAAAATCAGCTGCAACTCCAAAGTCTTGAGAGCTCAGAGCCTGCTTTTTGTAGGTGTTCTGGGAGGTGAAGAGACAGACTGTAGCATAGGGTAACCAAGCAGCCCTCACACTCTGAGACTCAAAACTTAGATGGCTGAATTCAGCTAAACTTTAGTTTTCCAGGATGGAGATAAATGGCAGAGATCACCTCTGCTGTCTTCCCCTCCACAGCATGCCTGTGATCCTCCAAGTTTGGAGGATTTTGGGTAACCAGACTGGATTGTGCTGTAAATGTTTTTCTTTATTCACTTACCATCAGAAAAGGAAAACGGCTCATATTTAACTTCCTTCTGTGCGCCATCACCTTTACTAGACTTAAAATAAAGCATACATTTTTGAGTTTTATTTAACATCAGTAACTACATTAAGATAAAATTGCTAACATTAGAAACAAGAAACTAAATAAAGCATTAAAAGGTTTCGGCTCAAGCCATATGTGATGGTGGCCCCTCTACTTGTTTAATCACAGAATTGCTCCAATCATACGTAAGCAGGTAATGTGCAATTTCAAGAGTGAAGGATCATTAGGAAGCAGACCGTTTTTTCTGGTGGGAATGGCTGCAAGAAGGCCTAGAAATTCAGATGCCCTAACCTGCATTCATACACGTACCTCTTTATACAGGCCTG